TGTCTCTCTTTCTTGAATCTTTCAAACTCTCATTCTGGGGTTAGGACAGAGTAGCTTCATCTTTTGGCTCAGTGTAGCCTTTCTCCACTACTTCACATACATCGTGTACTTCCAAAAGGGCATTCATTTTGATACTCCAATTATCAAAGTTATTGTTGTCAAGCACTGGAACTTGGAAGGCTGCCATAGTGTTGCTAGTCATAGCTCTGATACCATTTTGTTAGGGCTTAAAAAGACTTCACTACTTTGGAGATGTTTATCTCACAAAGAAGAATGTAATGTAGCGGAATTGATAGGCAAGAGAAACAAAGAACACTCAAAGTTTTTACACAAAACTTTTTATTCACTCACAAACTAGTACAAGAGGAAACACTCAAACACTTAAACACTTTTACACTTCTTCACTCTTTTCTCACTTCTTGCTCTTTTGGTTGTTTCAAATGGTGTGGATGTCTTCTCCTTTTATAGGCATGGCTGAAACCTTGGAGAAGCATGGAAGCATCATGCTAGAGATATCTAGATAATTCCACTACTTTCCTAAGCTAGAATTATCTACATTAATCTTGTATGTTGGTGGAATCCTCACCATTCTTCTAGACTCTTCCACCAACTTTGAACTTTGCTAGAATTCTCTAGCATGTGCATGGATCTTTCTTTGTGTATGGGCCGGATCAATTGTCTTGGGCCAAGACAAGATTACATTTCAACACATTCCGATGTCTGAGATTGGTGTGCAAATTACTGGTACTTTGGATTGGTGTCTGAGATTTAGAGAATGGCTCACATCTTTAATTTCTTTTTCCTGCATTACTACTGTTTTCAAAATTTTTACTGCTAGGTATTGATGATTTGTAGTCTGTGAGGGTTTCAATCTGTTGGAATTTTGAATGGTTATTGCTTCATCGGTATTTGGGTGGTCCAAATTTTGAATTAGAAGAAAACCCATTTGATTTATATTTTAGGTGGATTGGCTCTCTGTATACTATTTGTTATTTCTTCCCCGGTTGGAAAGTGGAAGCCCCAACTTTGAGTTTAGAGCTTGAATTTCTCAATCATCTGTTTCTCTGCACTCTCATAAGTCACTCTTGATCCTCTCTCTGAGGAACTGGGTAATTTTCCAGCTCTATCAAGTAACTCCATTTAATTGCTTAATTGAGATTTTTTTGTTTCTCTTTTTCGCTCTTTCATCAGTTCATTGGCTTTTTTGTTTCTCTTGATCCTTCTTAATTATCATCTATTAATCTTTCCATTCATAATGAAGCATAATTGTCAACCTGCTTTGAGGTAGCCACGTGAACCATTGCAGGAAATGTGCTGCCGACTCGGGATTTAACATTGCAAGTTTCATTGACTTCCTATCCTGTGCTTAGTTATTTTTTAGGGACACTTTGGATGCGGTCCTTAGCTATCAATATTTTTGTATTGAAACCTTGTTAGTTTTTAGTTTTTGATTGAGGTCCTTGACATTAATATAATAATGTAAGTTACTATATTTTTTAATTAAATATTAAAAATTGAAATTTGTAATTGTTTATATTAATGAGATTTTAAATAAAACCCATAATTTATGGGATTAAAAATAATAAAATATAAATTATACTCTCTATTATATTGTGTGTGTGTGTGTGTGTGTGTATACATATATGTATGGGTACATCAACCAAAATTAACAAAAAAAGTTATTGTACCAAAACATGGATACATTTTCAAATCAATGAAAAAGAATGTACCATATAAGTTTAAACATGGTTTAAAAAATTTGAATGGATTTTATATTAAAAAAAGGGTACATTTTACATATAACAAATTGATATATTTGAGAATGGGTACATTTAAGATTAAAAAAATTGAAAAATTATATGAATGGGTACATGTAAGATTAAAAAATTGAGAATCTTTTTATATATAAAAAAAAAACTAATAGGTACAAACTTAATTTAATTTAATTTTTTTATTATTTTGGAAATGTTTGAATTGAAAATTAATTAGAAGTTTAATAGAGGTGTGAGTATTAAACCCTAAATTAATTACTAATTTTTATATTAAAAAATTATATAATAAACATGTAAATTCATTATCACATTAATGCTAGGAACTTGAATCAAAATTTGATAACTAATACTAGGGACCGGATACTAATTTTTCCTATTTTTTATTATGTGATTTTAATCATTTAACAGCATAAAGCTTATGAAAATTCAAATGTATTTGACCACGATATAATTTTAGAGGATTTAAAAAGTGAAGAATTTTGGTGGATGTAGAGGAATGTTTTAAGTCTCAACATATTTTAATGTGGAGTATCCTTTTATTTGGGTCAATTTACATTGTTGATCATTGATAATATTAATGTTGCAATCCTTGATTCCCAATGAAGAATGGTTGTTTTGTATCAATCATTATTGGAAGGAAAAGAGAGGCGAGAGAAACATTAGCTGTGTAATAGTTTTACTTAACAAACATAATTATATCACACATTTTGTATCCTATAGCTCATCACAGTAATCATAGTTGGTCAGTTTAATTATTAGCAGCTGATAAGTGTTTGTAAAGAAGTGTAGCCATGGGAATTTAAACAAATTCAAATATATAGATTCGAATGGGTCAAGGTTGATGTGGTAAGGAATTTATGGACAGTTGGACAAACACACACACACACACACATATATATATTAGTCCACCCTATACGTATTATGTTGTCAAGCATTTCCAAAGTTCTACTAGCTTAGATACTGATTGTTTTTCAGAAATCAACATGCAAAATTTCTATGCATGTTTTAAAATTGGTTGTAAGAAGTAGGCTTCTAAGTGGACATTCTGTGTGAAGGTTGTTTTGGTCAGATATGCAATAGAAATTTGCATCATTGGGGAGTCTGGTGTTTGCACTCGTTGCTCGGTTGGAAACTATACGATTACTAATTTCTTTGGCAGCTCAAAACAAGTGGAAGATTCAACAAATGGATGTGAAGTCCGTTTTCCTAAATGGAGTCCTTGAAGAAGAAGTGTACATTCAGCAACCGTCAGGCTATGAAATCAAAGGGCATGAAGACAAAGTTCTGAAGCTAAAGAAAGCCCTCTATGGGTTAAAACAAGCGCCCAGAGCATGGAATAGTCACATCGACAAGTACTTCCAAGAAAACAACTTCATCAAGTGCCCTCATGAACATGCTCTCTATGTCAAAGTCAAGGATGCATATATTCTAATTGTGTGCTTATATGTGGATGATCTAATCTTCACCGGAAGTAATCCAAGCATGTATGAAGAGTTCAAGAGAGTGATGACCAAAGAATTCGAGATGACCGACATCGGGCTGATGGCATACTACCTAGGCATTGAAGTCAAGTAGAACGGAGAAGGCATTTTCATCTCCCAAGAAAGCTACATAAAGGAGATACTGAAAAAGTTCAAAATGAATGATTGCAAGCCCATAAGCACTCTAGTGGAGTGCGGAGTTAAACTAACCAAGTATGACGAAGGAGAAAGTTTATATCCAACAATTTTCAAGAGTTTAGTTGGAAGCTTACGCTACTTGACTTACACAAGACCAGATATTCTCTATGCCGTCGGATTAGTCAATCGCTACATGGAAAATCCCACAACTACACATTTGAAGACAGCCAAAAGACTTCTTCGATACCTTAAAGGTACTATTAACTTTGGCTTGTTATATTCAAGTTCTAGTAACTAGAAACTTGTTGGATATAGTGACAGTGATTGGGTAGGAGATTCCAACGATAGAAAAAGCACTACTGGATTTGTGTTCTTCATGGAAGACACTGCATTCACATGGATGTCGAAGAAGCAACCGATTGTCACTCTCTCTACCTGGGAAGTTGAATACGTAGCTGCTACCTCATGTCTGTCATGCAATCTGGCTAAGAAACTTGCTGAAAGAATTAAGCATGCCACAAGAAGAGCCAACAGAGATCTATGTTAACAACAAGTCTGCAATAGCTCTAGCAAAGAATCCAGTATTCCATGACAAGAGCAAACACGTAGATACCCGCTATCATTACCTAAGAGAGTGTATTGCAAGAAAGGATGTGCAAGTTGAATACATGAAGTCTCAAGACCAAGTTGCCAGCATATTCACCAAACCACTCAAACAAGAAGACTTTGTTAGATTGAGAATCAATCGGCGTCACAAGACAAGATTAAGGGGGGATGTTGAATTGTAATCTTGTCTTGGCCCAAAGATAATGGATCTAGCCCATGCACAAAGAAAGATCCATGCACATGCTAGAGAATTCTAGCAAAGTTCAAGTTGGTGAAAGAATCTAGAAGAATGGTGAGGATTCCACCAACATACAAGATTAGTGTAGATAATTCTAGTATAGGAAGGTAGTGGAATTATCTAGATATATCTAGCATGATGTTTCCATGCTTCTCTAAGGTTCCATCCATGCCTATAAAAGGAGAAGGCATCCACACCATTTGTAACAACCAAGAGAGCAAGTAGTGAGAAGTGAGAAGAAGCAACAAAGCTTCTAAGAGTATTTAAGTGTTTCCTCTTGTACTAGTTTGTGAGTAAATAAAATTATTGTGTAATACCTTGAGTATTCTTTCTTTCTCTTGCCTATCAATTCCACTGCGTTACATTCTTCTTTGTGGGATAAACATCTCCAAAGTAGTGAAATCTTTTTAAGCCCCAACATGGTGTCTGTCAATGTTTAATGGGCTTCTAGCTTTAAAACCCCACAATTCGCAAGCAAGGCGAGGTCTAAATTGTGGGCATAACTCATATGGTTGGTTATTGATTTTTCCTCATGACGATTCCAATGTTTCTTTACGTAGAGCTCATGAACGATAAGATTGATTCCCCTTTGTTAACGTGTTTTCTTTTCTCAATAGCAACGAACCATTCAGCCTACATTTATTTATTTGAGAAAACTTTAGAATTAGCCTTTGAAATTTTTACTCTAGCATCTCTTCAAGAATAAAAGAAAATTACCAAATTAAAATCCCCATAGACATTGCTTATATTTTCATCTCCGTAAGACCCTAATCCAGAATTCCCAGGGATGCAAAATATTCCACATCTGTTTGGTCATTTTGCTAAATTTCATTAGATTTGGCCCTCAAATTTGAAAAAGCTTTCATCTTGCTGTAAATTTAAGTCTTTTCTCTTTGTGTTGGTCCATCTCCTTATAATTGAAAGTCTCAGAATTGATAATGGATTTATTGTGTTTGGGAATTTCAGGATTTTGGATTTTGGTTGGTTTAGGTTGCTGCAGATGGGGGCTTTGGATGTAAGGCGGTGGTTGGCAGACACCGAAAGGTTGATTACCCTCCTTATGGAAGGGACTTTGTGAACCATCAGCCTACTGGAAGGTTTTGCAATGGCAAACTGGCCACTGACATCAGTGGTAAGTGGAAAATTTAGCTTCCAAAAAAATTGCTTTTAATTTAATGTTGATCTGCGCAATGTTTTTAGTTAATAGAAATTGACTGGTAATTAACAATATTACCATTTAGATGCCTTCAGTTCTTCTTATTGAAAGTATTTAGTTGAATTCTACTATTTACAGCAAACCATATAAACAATGATATGTAATTCTGAGAGGAGAGAGATTTAATGGCATTACTATGTTTTTAGTTCGATTCAATGATGCAAACTGTTAATTTCCTTTGCAGTTACTTTTATTTCAAGACACTGCACTCTTCTTTCAATCCCGCATTCTTATGAATCCTCTAAATATTATTTTTGCGCAGAATTAGTTTGCCAAATCCACATGACTGTGTTAAAATTGAGAATTGTTAAAATAGTATGATTTACTTGGAATTTGATGGTGTTAAACTGCAGCAAATAAATTTTTCCTGTTGTATTGAATTTTCAAAGGGCTTCCTTTCCACTTTTGATAACCCAGCAGCTACAAGCAAAGCAGAGAGTTTTTTATTCAAGAGCAACAATCCAGAAAAATTTCCATGGGAAGAGTCATGGATTCCTATTTCTTAGCTCTCACTGCCATTCTCACCTCTCTCTCTCTTCCTCTGAAAGATAAATCTCAATTTTTGAGCCCTGATTTGCTAGTTACGCAGTCCTTGGAACGGAATACAAACACAACTCGACAATAGGATCTTCATGTTGTCCCACATCGGGGGATTATTATAAAATTTATAAAATTTATTAGGGTTTACATTAGGCTTTTCATCTCCAAATAATTCTTTAAATTTGGTTCCTTTATGGCTCGGATATGCATACAATCATCGTTTGGAATTTGGTGTTTATAGCATTTAATTTTCTCGGATTTTTTACATGTTTTTGTGGTGACACAGGGGACGAATTCTAGGACGGAGGTGAAAGGATTTGGAAGAATCAGATGTGCCTATTCATTTGCAAGGTGATTGTTTTACAACTTAAAATACCGTGCGAGTTTATTTCACTAACATTGCATTGGTTTTTTAATTTGATATGTTGTTTTGGTCTGTGAAAATCAAAGAACTTTTAAATGTTTGCGAATTTGGTTGACACTTAAGTGCAATTCATTTTGGTCAAGGCTTTGGTTTGTGGCCAGTTGGAATTAATTTTGCTAAAATAAGATAAATCTCTTTTTGAGCGAATCTGGGGTTTTGTTAGGTGTGAGGTTCTTTTGGCCTAATTTGTTTTTTAATTGCTTTGGGGTTTTGTTTGGTTTGGAGTTGTAATGTTTCTGTATTTAATTTGGTATTTCATAGTTTAGCTTACGATTGTCAGCAGTTTTCTTAGACAGGGAGGTAATGTTCAATTGATGGAATGTTTTTAAAAGATATTGCTCTTAGAAGGTTATTATGTTTTATGTATAAGTATACTTTATACTGTAATGAAATTTTATAAGAATAATATTTCAGTCAGAGAGATACACAAAGATAAAGACAGGTTGAGCGATAAAAGCTCAGCCACAAGTGATCAAGTAGTGTATTTTGTGTTTCCCTTCCTTCACTGAGAAGTTTGTGAAATTGCTGTGGTTGGAAAGCCCCTATTGGTTTGGGTATGCTCTCTGTCTCAGTGTTGTGAGGTGAAAAGTTATCTGAAAATAATTGAAATAAAATTTTCTGCATTGCGATTCTTAATTAATTGTATGATAATGTTTCCAATGTTTTAGATTACATTGATCTGTATTATTTTAAAATATATATAAAGATTAGTTTATAGGTGTATGCACTTAATATTGGATATATGGTATATTTCAGGTTATTTGACATACAAGTCCATATAATCTCAATTTTCTCATGCAATTTTTATGCTTTGGAATCGTTGAACAGGATGATTCATACTTGGGTAGCTACATCAGCACAATTGGAGTTGAAATTGTAAGCATTTTGTCAGATTTACACTACTGATTCCTTTTATTCAACTCTCGCTAATCTCTATTATTTATTGTGTCGTTTAGAAACAAGTCATGAAAACGGTGAAGTATAGATGAATTCACTTACAGCTTCCCTTAACATTTCTAGATGGAATGCCATTGAAAGTAATCATTCTCACATTCATATGAATAAATAATGTTTCAGATGTTATGCCTGGTAGACAAGTTTCCAATACTGAGTCCAAAGTATAAGAAATGATGAGCTGTCCAGGTTCTTATTTCTTCACTTATCTGACTTCTTGCATTTGGCTTAACACCTAAACTTGTCTTATCTCATCTACGTGTAGATTACATTTTGTTTGTGCTTAATGGAATGTTAAAAAATGCTCAAGTGCATGGTAAGTTCTTATGAATTTACTCTTTAACAGTCAGGTCATTTGCAACCATTTATATAAACGTTTGATTAAGTAAACGTTTGATTGTGTATTTATTTAAACGTTACAATTAGTGGTATACATGTAAACGTTACATTTTGGTTGGGCTGGATTAGTTACAAACAGAGAAGGGGGGAAGGTGTGGAATGTCAGGGAGAGGAAGGGAGAGAAAGGTCTGCATCTCAGAGCCCAGCTCGAGTCCTCAGGTAAAACCCTATTGTTCCCTGTTTTTCTTCTCAGCATCTTACAAAACTACTTCTTTCTTCATATTCTCTTTATGTTTGGCTGAAATTCTGAGTTGCCGACTCCCACTGTCTTCCTTCTCGACTTATTTGCCAAAATCTTTTCAGTTTCAGCAGTAGCGGCCACCACTCTTCCCCAAAGGTAAATTTCTCTTCTCTTTCTTAGATTTAGAATCTTCAAAAGCCTCATCTACATCGTTTGATTTCTGTAATTTAGCCAAAAATTACTTTGTTCTCTGTGCAGTGCTGCCCATTTTCCACCATAATCACATCTTAAACTCTTCCAATGAGATGCCCGGAGAAGGTCAGTACGCTCACTCATACCCAATTTACCCAAAAATAATTTTAATATCAGTGATGGGTTTGTGTTTTCTCGCAAATTTGCTCTGTTGCTTCCCGCTTCGTTTGACTGCATCTTCCTTTGTTTTGACTTTCGTTTTTGTTTTTGTTTTGCTTTGTGCTCTCTCGCCGTCAAACGATGTTCTCTTTTTGTGAGGGTGGTCGTCCCAAAACGTTGTTGTCTTTCTGTGAGAGTCGTTGTTTAAAAAATTTCTAAATATTTGTCTCTCTTTGTGTCTGAGTCTGGGATTTGGGTCTATTTTGAAGGCATCTTCACGGCTGTGAAACTGAGGAGCAGATTCGTGAGATTGTCTAAAAAAGTTCTTTTATATAAGATTACCACTTATGAAGAAGTGAACTAAATAGGGTGATTCTTATATTTGCTAAGATTTGGATCCCCAAAATTAGTTTTGCATGCAATAAGAATCCTGCGGATCAAATTGTAGGTCCAAACGTCGCTTAAACATGATTTGGATGTGTTTGGATTAAAAGTTAACTTTGGGCTCAAGAAAGGAGCTGGCCCGAAAGGAGGCCCAAAGGGAAGATAGCCGAAGCCCAGTCGAAGCCCAAAAGGCAGAAAGGGCATTTTCTGACTTGGTGCAGCTCATGAAGACTACTTGCTTACCTACCCAAAGGCCAAGTGGTATAGACTGATCAGCTACATAGCCCATAAAGTACTTTATGATGGCAGTCCATGTAAAAAAGCCGATGAGTCATCACCCTCAAACCGCATTCGGGCAAGGCCGCTGCTACAGGAGCCAAGCCAAGTTGTCTATATAAGAAGAAGGAGAAACCAGGAATAAGGACACTCAAACAAACAAACAAAAGCAAAAACTCTGCTCAAAACCAGATTTGCCTTCAAAACAAAGCTGTAGTCAGCCTTCATCCCTTTCGGGACAAGCCTTCATCCCCCTCGGGATAACCCTCTCTTCAACCCTTTGTAATAGCTCTGCTACCTTGTTCAACCTTGCTGTAGTATCGATTCATTTATTTTGTAATCTCTCTTTCTCCCTCTAAGCTTTCAGACCTTTGACAAAACTACAAAGATAGGAACCTGCAAGACGAGCAACTTTACTCGATAAGGTTTAACCTTGCCCGACCTTCTTTGCTTTGTTTTTGTCTTTTCAATATGTTGTATACTTCCAGTTATATGCAAGTTATTTCTAGCAATATGACTATTAAAAGGTTTTCTCAGTACTTGAATCCGATTTGAATATATCGTCAGTGTTCAAACCAGATCCAAGTTCTAAGCCCTCGGGCATGTAAATCTGATCAGTTAAAAGTCCTTGGCCTCAAGGCATAAAAAAGAACCTTATGTGGACTTAACCCATCCACGACAGTCCTTGATAAACGAGAAGTCCGAAGTTACTTGGGGCGCAAGTAATCAACCTATCTTCTAGTTTTCCTTCTATTATATCATGATTACTATAGAAAGCTTGAGCATGGAATGGATTCTAATGGAAAGCCTCAAGGCCTACACCTAAGGCCCCACAAAGGCATCTATTTGGATTCATTCCGTTCAGCGATCTAAATAGTCTAAGTATAGGAATGAACTCTGATAGGAAGCCTCAAGGCCTACATCTAAGGCCCCACAAAGGCACCTATTTGGGTTCATTCTACTTCTTGGACTCGGGTAATCAGAAGTATAATAGTTAGAAAACTCCGGCAATCACGAGAACAAATATGATGTGTTCAAGCACCAGTTTAGTTATTGATGGGAAGCCTCAAGGCCTACACCTAAGGCCCCACAAAGGCACCTGTTATAACTAACACGGTTTCTTAGATACATACATACATACAACTAAAGCAATATCCATTTTACATCTGCCATGCTAAAGATGGCAGTGGCACGCCTGAGCACCTAAATGTTAACCTTGATAGGAAGCCTCAAGGCCTACACATAAGGCCCTACAAAGGCACATCTCAAAGTTAACGCTGTCCTTCTCTTTCAGCCTTGCCCGAAGAGCCTTGCCCGAAGAGTCTTGCCCGACAAGACTTGCCCGACAATGCCCGACAGCGAAGCAGAAGCTCGACAGCAGCCCTCAAACTGGCGCCAACCTCCAGGGGAGCTGTGTGCTCGTCGGCCAGGAGACATCCCCGACGGAAATTCCTGACGCGAACATAGTTTTGGCACGCCCGGTGGGATTTCTTCCAGTCAGAAGATATATGTCAAAATGCCAGAAGGTTTACAAACCACATTACTACAAATGTTGCAAAGGTTGGAGGAAGTTTCCACAGGCTTCAGAAAAGAAACAGACCTGGTTCCTCCCGAGGGAAAAAGACTTAAAACCAGACCGCCTGAAGAGTTGGTGGTAGACAAACCTGCAGTTCCCTTTTCAGAAGTCCCTGTAAATATGATCAATATGACATGGGCTGAGAAGGGAAAAGAAAGAATTACAAGGGAACCAGAAGAGAAGAGATTGGTTGAAAAACCTACAGGAGGGGTGATTGAAACACCCGAATATCCAAAAGCAGCCATAGTCAAGGGGATGGTTATGTGCAGTAAGTGCCAATGCGAGTGTGAGCTCGAAATTCCCCCGGCTGGAGTCCTCATTGACCGTGAACTAATCAGGAGAAAGGAAGAAGACGTCAGAAGAGAAGCCCGCGAAAAGATTAAGCAGGCAACAAAAAAGGACACTTCTCGAAGCGTTTTTCAACGACTAGGAGGTGATTCCCAACCTAAAGCTTTGTCAGAAGTATTTCGAAACCATGAAGTTTCTGAAGAAGCAGAAGATATGGAGGCCAAAATACAAAGGGGTACAGATCATCCTCAAAATGGCCAGATGGGGAGGGAAATCCAGAGGATTGATGGTATGACCAATCCTGTTAGAAAAGAGCATCATGCCCACTGCGGGCGAAAATGGTACGTAGTCGGGAAGAACGGACAGCCTACCAAACCAATGGGAGCCTCCATGGTCAGGAGGGTTCAAAGGCAGCACAAAGCCTACATGAATGCCCTGAAGACCCCCACAACATCCGAATCCTCCAAAAATTACAAGTTGAAGAAAACAGCATCTGGGGGAAGTAGTCAGCTCCGTTG